ATAATTTAAGAAGATATAGACACAAATAAGTGCAAGTATATTATTATTATTACGTGTGCATGGCGCTGAGGGATTGTCCAAAGGGGTCCTGAAGTGATCCTCCTCACACAAGCACACCATGGATCCTTCCTCTTCTGCGACACTGTTGGCTGGGCAGGGGAAACACTCCTGCTGTCTGGACGACATCTTGTAAGAGCCAGGTGGACACGCTGGAAAAGAAAAGCAGTTTGTCAGATATGTCCAAATTACGTGATATATCACATTACATACATTTAAAAAAAAATATGTAATATATCCCTTTGGGAAATGAACACATGAAACACATATTGCTATATCAAGGAACTGCACGCTCACAAGATAATTCTGCAGATATGCTAACAGTTTAGAGCCTTTTTTTAATCACATAAGCGCCTCTATTTCACTAAGCACGTTAAAGCCTTTGAAAAAAACGAGAGGGAAAATTAAGAATGAGTGTAGAAAAATGAGAAAAGCCAGTGAGACCTCAGTGAAGTATAGATGAGATAAAAGATAGGATTAGAGCAGAAAAGTAGAGGAGACTTTGGCTAAATCCATCTGACAAACACAATTCTCACATTACATGTGATCGGTGGACCTGTGCAAATGGCATCAAAGTCTGCAACTGGAATGAACCAGCTATGCAAATGAAAGAAAACCAATGGATCGTGCAGGCACAAAGCTCCGAAGCCCAAGATTTTTTATTTCATTGTGCTTTTTCTCCCCTTGTTTCGCCTTATTTGGAAGTTATCCCAAAGCATGCATGAACCAAAATACAAAAGGTGAGAACGTGGACAAAGGTGATAAGTACTCATGACCTTACATGTGTAAGAGTACACACCATGTAACAGAAGCTTATCAGTGCAAGTGTGACAATGGGCGTGCATAAACACACACACTCAAACTCACGGAGAACAGCTTATTTTACACTCTCCCTGTATGCAGTTTCATTTTCCACTTGCCGTGCTTTTGTAGCAGGTGATAATGGGTGTGAAATCAGGCAGCCAGCTACCGCTCCACGCTCTGGTCTCCTCTCTTCTGAGACTGTATTCTAAACAGCGGGTCTACATTAACAGCTCTAGTGAGCTTTCTACCCCTCTCTCCCAGTCTTCTGCTCGTTTTCCATTCTCCTGCCACATTATTCTTTCTTATTCCTTTCATACCTTTCTTTGTCCTTCTCATTTTTTGTTTCATCATCGTCAGTCTTGTTAGGTTCCACCTTTGGAGGCATGTTCATTTTTACCCAGAGTGAGAAACTAGTGATTGACATAACCAGTTAGTGTACATTAAATTAGTTTACAGATGGTAGATACTGGTTTTGAGAATATTTATGGACGAAATACTTGGTAACAAAGGCCTTAGCCATGCAAGTCTAGGGACTGGTTGTTAACCCCCTGGCAACCTCCAGTTGCTAGGGAAAAATGTGAATTCCACACCCAGATCACGAGTGGTTGCTAGGTGTTTATCTCCAGGCGAAATCGCCTATAAAGAGGCTCCTTGTAATTGCTTTGGTCACTAGCAGTTTGCTGTGGTCGCCTGCAGTTTGCATGGTACAAGTTTACTCGTATAGAAATAATCACCATTTACTCTTCGAGTTGTAGTGAAACTTGAAAAAGTGCGAGATAACCCAGGAATGGAGAATGTTAGCTTCAACGTGAAAGTTGTGTTTGGAGAGTAAACTGCAAGTCTTTGCTTTGTTGGCATCTTCCATGCAAACTCAGGCTTCTTTGCGACCAGTTTCAAACTAGTGGCTGTCAGCAATCTCATCAACCACTCATCAACCAGCTGCAGAAAGTGAATAGGGAGCTTTAGCAATCAGTTTCAGAAGAATTACCAGCAACCTGTACCAGCTACTTGCAGCTAGTCTGAGCATATACATTTTACCCTCAGAACCAGTGGTTGCCACATGGTAGCTGACAAGCTTCTACACCTGTGTCATCGAGGCCTACATTTTAAATCAAAAGAAGCTATAACATGAAAATTATGACTCAAAATTATTTATATGACTCAAAATAAGACACTGTTGCTTTACTTACCCTGATACTACACACTTTTAAATACACAAATTTAAAAAAAAAAAGGGGGAAACCAACTACCAACAGAAATATTTGAAGCTAACGATACGCTGGCAAGGGTTAGCCAGTCATAATAGTCCATGTGGTACATGGTAAATGGACTGGTACTTAGTATAGTGCTCTTCTACTCTAACTGAGCACTCTACTACAAGCCTCATTCAGTAAATCATACACATATTTTTTCTAAATCAAAGCACCTTGGCTAACATCGACACACTTTGACATGCAGAAAGGAGAAACTGGTGATCAACCCACTATCCTTCCAACCCACTTTACCTCCTGAGCCACAGCTGCCCCGGCCCTGAATTTCCAAGAAAGATTCTTAAACATTAAAAGATGTTCAATTCACATTCTTGGGTATGTTTACTTGATGAGCTTGAATAGGAATTAGGAGATATCATGAGCCCCTGGAACCATGTTATCAACTGTGATTTAAGGCAACAGTGCCCTGTCTGAATTATGTGATAAAATTTATGGGATTTATGGGAAATTACAGTTAAGAAGACAGCACTTTTCCCACCTGCAGTATTGTGTCACACAGTCAGTAATGCTGATATATTTGTATGTGACACAGGCAAGTTGAACACAAAAGCCTTCCCCTGGCTCAGACCAGTCTGAGAGTGTGCACGTGCCTGTATACCTTTGTGTATGCATGTGTGTATTACAGCCCTGTGTGGCATGTTCGAGGCTGTAAGAACCTCGTAATCGACTTTCTAATGTCTGTCATTACACAAAAAAAAGCCTCTCGCTTTCAGCTCAAAGCACAGCCAAGCATGGGGACATAACAGAAACACACACACACCCGGTCAAGCAGCACTGAAGTAGACTCCCTTTGTTCCTGACTGTGCTGCCACTATCCTTCCCTTCGCCACAGCAAGAACATCAAGTGTGAATAGCACCTAAATCAAGGCAAAATTATGCATAGATCTATGAGAACAGAAATGGGTTTTGCATTTTCTACCTATCATGCTTAAAAGCAGGCTAGCCATATGGCTGGCTGCAGTTCTGACTTATCTCTTCAATTCAGCATGGATAGACATTTCGCTGGCCCACGATGGAAATGTGTGTCTAATGATAGGGGTGTATCAAGACAATATGTGCAGCTCAGATAACAAAAGGAGCTGGCTTTGCATGATGCCCGTCATTTTCAAGGGATTCAAAGGGTCGCCAAAAGCCAGTGCCAGAGAAGGTCATGTCAGTCAGCATGGCCACAAGCCATCTGCCAGTTGGAGAAGAGGAGTTAGTTTAAAAGGCATCCAGCGGTGAGAAAAAAAAACAAAAACCTGAACAAAACAATAGAGATACTTGTAATGAAGAGTACTCAAGAGTACTCATTTGGTTTTTCTCATCTTTAAATTGCAAGGTGTATAAATTTAAGTGGAAATCAGAGTTTCAGTGGAAGTAAAGGAGAGTGGGTGGTTAGAGAACTAGAGAGACAGAAGGAGAGATCTGCCAGGACAGCTGGCAAACCAACTGATCAATTTGTCCTATGTGCTGACTGGGAGCCTCGATTAAATGAAACACGGCGGCAAATGTATGCACGCGCACGCGCACACAGAGGCATATTTCTTCAAGGTGTTATGATATAGATATGCAGTGACATGCCAGGTCCTTGGGGTGGGGGGTAGTGGATGACACAGTACGCCAACTGCTGTGAGAGATTGTTCGGAGAGACAGAGACACCAACAGACAAACAGATGGCGTGTGAGAGACAGAAAGACAGTAGGCTATGTACTGTACTGAGAAAGGACATTAAACAGGGAGGGATAATAGACTCCTTCAGACTGACTGATAGACAGAACAATAAACACAGGCATGGAATGCATACAGATGAGAAACACACTGAACGAATGAGTGACAGTGTTAGAATAAGGTCATCTATAGTAGGAATATATAAAACAGCAGAAGTGCTCTGCTTGCCATAGGAGCTTATCGGTAGTTAGAAAATAAATATAGGAATATGATTGCAAAACTTGTTATCAATCTTTCTTAGAAAATTCATTATTACTCTGACAGTTTGAGATATGCCAACAGTTTTGCCATCTAATGAATAAAAAGTAAAAGGCCAAAGAATCCACATTTCAATGAGCTTACAAATGACTTTAATAGACTTTTGTCTTTGTGGGAGGAATCAATTTATAGTTTGCCCTTCTCTTTTATTTTCTTTTTCCTTTCTTTCCTCTAACCTTAAACATGCCCATTAATAAGTCATGAAGCACTTAATGCAATACATGTGAGCAATGAATTGTTTCTTTGCCTCTCTGACAGCACACATTAATAAATATTAATAACCCTAAAAGAGGTTTACTTTAGACCTTTGTGCGCGCACACTGGCACACATTTCCACGCAGCTAAAGCCCAAGAGAGATTACACATAGACATAACGCGACGATTTTTTGCAGAGGTTTTCAAGGAATTGAACAAAGTATGATAGTCAAAGGGGTAATGGTATCATAGAGAGATGGGGATGTGATTCCAGCAGTTGGAAATCAATAATTGAGAGAGCTTTCATTCAGATGAGTGCTCCCTGTGTAGCTGATGGTGATTTGAATTCTTTAGGCTTCCTTAACATCCAAAAAATTAATTCTCATTACCATCTTTTTACACACACACGGACACGGACCTACGCGCACATACGCACGCACACATGTAAATCTGCATATCCGAATCAGAGAAGTAGGAAGGTTGGAGAAAAATGACTGATTAATGTGTTTAAATGTGTCGTGTTAGGTCAAATTATTAAAATGTGAACTGATGAGGTTAGGGTGAGTCAGACTGAATTGGACTAGTTGAAATTGGACAAAAGTAGATGGGGTCAGTCTCATTCCACATGATAGATTGGCTGAAGAGAATGAGATATGGACCATACTGGATCAGAAAAAAATGTTGAAAAATACTGTTTCAAGCTAAGACGTTGGAGCTTAGGGGGAAAAGGCTTGGAAAGTTACCAGTGCAACTCTCCAGACTGAAAAATAAAAAGACTCTTAATACCCTGGTCAAGGCTCATGAACAGTATGTGTAAATTGTGGGGAATTTACGTGTATAGTGCTGTGCAAGTCATTCTTTGTTTTTTGCCAGGAAAATGGAAAATAGGTGTAGTAACTTACTGAAAGGAGCCAAACATAAATGTTTACACATACTATGTAAAGCAAAAACTGAGTTTGTACAATTGAAGAGCTTAAAAATCAATATACCCATCTTCAACACAGCCTGAACTCTCTAAGGCTCTCAGGAATAGTTCTCCAGGCTTCCTGAAGGACATTCCAACTTCTTTAGATGTTGCCTGGGGAGACCAATCCATGACTGACAATGTTCTGTTATGTGTTTCAGGAATGCTTTAACTGCACTGGCGCTGTGTTTGGGCTCACTGTCATGGTGAAAAGTGAAGCTGTTCCCAATGGGATGAATTTCCTGTTACTTGTTAGCATGTTGGATTACACTGTGTGGCACGGCGTGGCCTGCGGTGCAGTGCAGGGAAGGCGGACGCACCTGCACGGCATCTGCAATCACGCCCCGCCGACTTAAATATTGTACTGGGTCCTGTGGTTGGGGTTGTTGTGGTAATGTTGAGCGGGCAGCGGGAGAGCTGCAGCTCTGTGTGCATTGTGAAGCAAACGTGTGTGACAATAAAAGGATGCAAAGCATGTTGATGTCACCGGTTCTGCCGTGTATGTTTACACACTGTTAGATTGGATCACAATCTAACAGTGTGTTCTTATTTTCATAATTCGATCAATTTTTAACAAGCTGGCCCAACACCCCTAGCTGAAAAGCAGGTTCAAACAATGGCAAAACCTGCTGGACCTTGTCTTTATCTTCTGTAAATCATCATTAATGATGATTTGAACCAAAATTTTCAATTTGGATTCATCATTCCAAAAGACCAGTTGTCACTGATTTTCAGCATGGATCTTGCGTAATTTGTGTAAAAAAAGAAAAGAAAAAGAAACCAAACATCACTCTGAAATCGGTCACGGATAAGGACTAGACTGAAAATGAGTAAAAGGGCAGCCAGTGTCCGAAGAAAAAATCTGAAAGATCTTCAGAAAGCCTTTCTCTTAAGAGACAAATTTCTAATAATTACGAGAAAGTTTGTCTCCCTGGAAGCAAAATATAAAGAAATGAGAGGTGATCCAAGACTTGT